ATTCCAACCAGATCCCGTCCTTCTGTCCTTGTGCTTTGCTGCTGGTTAAAAGCAGGTTGGAAATTGTGATCGATAAAACGAGGCCAGAATTTTGGTTGCAAGGTAATAGAAAAATTTATTAATTCCAACAAGCAAAAACGGCCAGCCGGGCAACCGGGGGAAACCTCAATTCCAACCGCGGTCCACGAAAAGGGAACAGAAACAGCACCAATTATACCCTCCGTCGTCACCTCCCCCCCCATAGTCACGTCATTAGTCCATTGGAGGAAGTTTCACGGGCTGCATCCTGCTTGGTTCCCTCTTTGCGGGCCGGCTTGGGGTTGGTTTCTCCTTTCCTGGGCAATTGTTGTTGCTGAGGGGAGTCCACCAATGATATCAAAGTCATTGATTTCTACGTGTTCATGCTCCTGGAAATTTCCATGGGGATGATAACTGATCATCTGGACTCCTCGTGATTCACTCCTCTAAGCAGGTTCCTATTAATACACTTAGGACAAACATCTTCAAAATATGCCAAATCATCCTTGCGTTGTGTTAGCCAGCTTATAACTTTAAGGAACTTGTGGTTAGGCGTTAAGCAACATGTCAACTTATGATTCTAACAGAGCAATTCATACAATACAGTAACTTCATTAACTCTCTCATTCTGAGCAGCAAATTTTCTCAGTTTACTTATAACAATCCCCCCTCCTAATTTCCTCGTAAATTTGCTGATCAAATCCAATTACCGCCTCTCTGGCTGCTTCTAAAAGAGAGGCTTGATCTTCACTGGAAGACTTTCCACTCATGTCTTCATACTGTTGCTTTACTGTTAATAGCTGCACAGTTTCAATTCTATTCTTAGCAAATGCTATAATCGTATTAAGAATGCATGGTCCAAAAATTAGTGAAGCAAACAACATTATTAGAGGACCTGCTAAGGTCGAAATTAGAGTTGTTAGCCAAGGAAACTGGTTATGCCAGGTATCTAGCCAATTTGGTGAAGCTTCTTTTTCCCTCTTTCTTTGCAAGATTCCCTCACGTAATTTGGTCATGGATTCTTTAATAACTCCTGAATGATTTGCATAAAAGCAACATTCTTCACCTAATGCCACACATAACCCTCCCTGCTGCAGAAACAGTAAATCTAACCCTCGTCTGTTTTGCAAAACCACTTCTGAGAGGGAATTTAGAGAAGTTTCCAAATATGATATAGATTTCTCTATTCTGTCTAGATCTTCATCTACCGCTGCCCTTAAAGCAGTCAATCCATGACCCTGTTGTACTAGGGATGCAACTCCAGCACCTGTGGCTCCCAACCCTAAGATCATAGCAATAGTTACACTTATGGGTTCTCGTTTTCGGATTCCATGTTTATTCACTTCCCAAAACTCTAAAACAGATTCTTCAGAATGATACAACATATGAGGTAACACGGTTATCTGAATACAAAACTCATTATTCTTTTTAAATGCAGAGACAGCCACACAAGAAACTAGACCGGTCTTAGAGTATATCCACCACCCGCCCTGGTGTGGTATAGCCCACTTATTATTCTTTCCTTCCTCCAGTTTATTTACTTTGGTACCACACAATTCATCACTATCTGGAGGAATGTTCCCAATACACGTCCCTGCCCACTGACTTGCGACATTGTGAGACCTATTTCTCTTTCTCCCCACCTGCATTGGCTTGGGTTTTCCTCTGTACTGAAACTAAAGGTGAGGTTCAGCCCCACTCCCTCATAGAAGGGAGGTCTCACATTATAACATAACCAACAGGACTCGGTCATGTCAGGGTCTGTATAATTAATGGCCTTATAGGACGCTTCCACCATGTTTAACATTGATCCCACTCCCCCTCGTGATACCTTTTCTCTTTCAAATAATTCAGTAGGAAGGATCTGGGTACCCTTAGACTCTTGTGACTCTGGACTAGTGAGGACTTTATTCACCTTCTCCTTTTCCTTTTCTCGATCATTGTCTCTAGATTCCTTGATTTCCAAATTGGGTCCTAGTAACTGAGAGTAAATAGTTAATGGCTGTTTCCTTATTGTTACATATTCACCTGGGTCTGCGGACAGTCTGTCTGATCTCACTCCCCATGTTCGTCCAGTCAACAACCCTCGGTCCTCATGATTAAGGACTTGCACCTGCAGGTACTCACAATTAGAGGGTTCATTAGGGAGTACAAACCCTCCAAATGCAGGTGGATCACAATGTGGGGGGTCCCCATTGTACTCGTAGATACCTGTCTGGTCTTTCAGGCCTCCAGGCAGTAGCTATGGTCTCACAACCCCAATATCCACAGTGGTAGTGCCCAGGATAATTGCAAAAGGACTTCCCTGGATTAGAAGTTGGGCACCAATATGTGGCTCCTTTATTTACTGTAACAGAGGGTTTTCTCCCTCCTTTGCCACACTCTTGAGGTATATTAGCCATTAACAGATCACAAACTGTCACATTAAATTTAGGACTTATGGCAGTTATTATTCTTCGAACAACTTTAGAATCCTTGGACCTGATTAAGGTCCATTCAAATGGTTGGTGGGCACATCCCAGATAACTCATAAGAGCTGTTATACCAATGATTAGTGCTAACTTTTGCCCCATTTTGTTTGAGTCTCTTCCCTTCGTTTTCAGTGATTTCTATTTTTAGTCACTTCCCCACACGCTTATCTCTCTGCCTTCCTTCGTCTGTTCCTGTGCAGGGAACAACGAGGTCTCAGATTCTTCTCGGCAGCAGGGATATTCTTCAGGGGATAGACTTAATTCATTTAATTCTCTTCCACTGATTCAGGGCAAGACTCATCTAATTCGAGATTTTGGATTTTGTCAAGTAGCCCCAGTAACTCAATATATCTCCTTCGATTTGGTTTTTCCAATTTCCACGAAAATCTAGTACGGCACAGTTCTATTAGTGCCCTATTCCAATTATTTTCATAAACCTCCCAAGTTTCTGGGACTAACCACTCCCAACCACAAAATGCTTTTATTATTTCAGCGTTAGCTAATTGTTCTCTTATAGAATCAGTAGAACCAGTCCTACACTTCATACAACAAGGTTGTCCCATTATTGATACACAGCGCCACTGTTTACCACACTGTTTGCACTTACACACTACCCAGCTGTAATGAGTAGACCCTGGATGTTTTATACAGGGGATTCCATGTGGGTCACATCCGCCTGGTACGTCTGTTTCCACTTCACAACAAAAGGGCAAAACCGTTTGAGTTCCAACTATTCTATACAGTCCCGAACCTCCCGTCTGTTCAGGTAGTCCCTCTAAATTCCAGGAAACAAAGTGCACTCTCCTTAAAGTCTGTCCTTGGGGTATCTGAAAGAAAAAATACAGGCTGGGCCTTACGACCTCTCCATCAAGATTCATCTGTTGACTGCACTCTTTTAATCCTCATCTGCAGGTCTCCAGGCGTCGATGTTACTCTCCACTCTGACTCCTTTACTGGTCCTTTTACTCTTGATGCATGGGTCCACCCTCGCTCAGCTGTTCTCACTGCAGTATCTGTGGTAAGAAGAACAACAAAAGGCCCCTCCCACCGTGGAGTTAAAGATGTTTCCTTCCATGTTTTAATCAATACCTTGTCACCCGGCTGGAACTTGTGTATACATATGTCTAGAGGGGGTCTTTGAGCTACAAATCCCTTTCTCCTTAACTCTTGTCTTCTCTTCGTCAGTTCAATGATATACTCCCTGAGGAAAGTATCCTCAACCTTTGGATGATCTAAGGGGGCTCCGAAGTTATAGGGCATCATTTCGAATGGCGAAATTCCTGTGTCCATTCGAGGTTGTGTCCTGATATACAGCAGTGCTAAAGGAAGACACTTTACCCAATTCATTCTTGTCTCTAACATTAGTTTAGTCAAATGTTTCTTAATTTCCCCGTTCATCCTTTCTCCCCTGCCTGAACTCTGTGGATGCCAAGGGGTGTGGTATTCCCACTTAGTTCCTAGCAACTCTGTTACTTCTTTGATCACCTTTGAAGTAAAGTGAGTTCCCCGATCTGAGTCCACTACATTGACTACACCATATCTAGGGATAATATCTTCTAATAGTATCTTGGCTACAGCTTTAGCTGTACATCGAGCAGTAGGAAAGGCTTCCACAAAATGAGTTAGATGGTCCACCAATACTAATAAATATTGATACCTTCCTACCTTTGGTAATTCTGTGAAGTCAACCTGGATTTTCTCAAATGGTCTCTTTGCTAGCCCTCTTCCTCCTTTAACTTTTTCTCTTAAGTATCCTCTATTCACTTTCTTACAAGTTAAGCATCCTTCTAAAACCTTCTTTGCTATATCATATACTCCAACACATACGTACTTATTCCCAAAGTGATCCACCAGTGCCTGGGTACTCCAATGTGTTTGCTCATGCAGTTTTCCCATAACCTTGCGAGCAAGACCCTTAGGGATCACTTCTCTTCCGTCTGACAATAACCATTTCCCCTGCTCTTCCCTTGCACCTACTTGCAGCAACTTTTCTCTCTCCCGATTACTAAAGGACTTAGGAATTACCTCATTTTCTGTTTCCTGCTCACTCATCACCAGCAAAGCTGCTCTCTTTGCCTCAGCATCAGCTAAATTGTTTCCTCTTGTTACAACATTTAATCCTTTTTGGTGGCCTTTCACATGTACCACTGCAACCTGTTTTGGTCCTCTCAAAGCTTTTTGAACTCCCCTAATTAGGCTCTCGTGAACCAGCCCTTTGCCCTTTGCATTGGTTAGTCCACGTTCTTCCCATATCTTTCCAAAGGTGTGGACTACTCCAAAAGCATATTTAGAGTCTGTAAATGTAGTCCCAGTCTTTCCCTCTAACAACTGCAGAGATCTTAATAAAGCATACAGTTCGCATACTTGAGCTGACCATGTACCACACAAAGATCCAGACTCCCTAACCTGAAGGGTAACTCCATCTATCACAGCATATCCTGATCTCCTTTTTCCATCTACGACTCAATCAATATAAAGTTTTTCACCTGTGTCTAACTCTTCTTCTTCCAGATCCTCTCTAATTTTGGTTTGTAAGCTTATAACCTGAGTACAATCGTGTACCACACTCCCTTGGGGTTCACCGTACAAGAACTGAGCTGGATTTTGTAGATGAGTTACTTCTAGCTCCAGCTTGGAGGTGTTTAACAGAATACTCTCGTATTTCAATAACCGGCTATCGGTCAACCACTTCTCTGCCCTTTGTCTCAATACTCCCCTAATATCGTGAGGAGTATACACCTTTAATTCTCCTCCAAAGGTGACCTTCATAGCCTCCTCTACCAACAGGGCAGTAGCTACTATCGCTTGCAAACAAGTGGGCCAACCTCTGCTAACTGGATCTAAAATCTTTGAGTAATATCCCGCAGGTTTCTTATGTTCAGCCCACTTCTGAGTCAATATCCCATAAGCAGTTCCATTTTCTACATTCACGAATAGATAGAAAGGTTTTCCAGTATCTGGAAGGCTAAGTACAGGAGCGTTCATCAAATCTCCTTTTAATGCTTCTAATTTATCCTCATCCTCATCACTCCACCAATCCTTCTTTGGCTAATTTTTCATATAAAAATTTTACCTTACTACTGTAATTCTCTATCCACTGTCTACAGTATCCCAAGAGGCCTAATATCTGCCTGACCTGTCTTTTATTCTTAGGTGTAGGCATAGACAATATTCCTTTTACTCTTTCAGGATCTAATCTCTTACATCCTTTACTTAACCAGTGCCCTAGATATTTTACTTTCTCTTCTGTGAACTGCAGCTTAGATTTGGACACCTTTAGGCCCTTACCACCCAGAAAATTCAGGAGTCTAATACTTTCATCTCTTACAGACTCAGCATCTCTCCCAGCTATTAGTAGGTCATCAACATATTGCACCAACACTGTTCCCTCACGGGGTTTGAAGGACTCTAGCAGCTGTTCTAGAGCCCGCCCAAACAAATTTGGTGACTCTGTAAACCCTTGGGGTAAAACTGTCCATCTCAATTGTTGCTTTCTGTGGGTGTCAGGGTCTTCCCATTCAAATGCAAAGTAGTTTCTACTTTCTGCCTTAAGGGGACAAGTCCAGAAAGCATCCTTCAGATCTATCACACTATACCACTGATGTTCCGGGGAAACCTGGCTCAGTAAAGTGTATGGGTTGGCCACTACAGGGAACCTTGTCACTGTCCGCTTATTTACTTCAGTCCAACAGTTTAATTACCTCGGTAGCCTCATCTCCTCAGATGGTAAGATCGATGGAGAGATAGACAACAGATTAGCTAAGGCATATAGTGCTTTTGGAAAACTCCACAAAAGAGTATGGCGTAATAAACACTTGAAGAAAAGCACC